GTGACACCATTGTTAGATTCAAAAAGAAGAAGAGGAGGCCTTACGGTGTCGTTTTAGGGACAACCTCCTCTTGGGACGCAACTTTGGGGTTCAAAGTCATCGACACAACAACTACCATCATAGAAACTCAAACTCCCATTCAAATCTCATCCCCCAAAAACACTATATTTCAAGAAACTCCACTAGTTTTTAAATATTTCAAGGACAGACAAAAATACAAAAATACCTAATGTCAAGCCTAAAAACATGGAAATAATTTTTGAAAATACCAGTCATACCCCTAAGAGTTATGTTTGTTAACATAGCCTAGCCCACATAAATTCAAAGAAATTAATGTGTGTCATCAACTCAACCTCTCCTTGACCATTTTTGTAGGATCATTTTCGAATCTATTTGTAGAATTAGTTTGTATCATTTATTAATAGAATCAATTTAACTCCTCCTTGACCATTTTGCATAATTAGTTTCAAATACATGTAAAATCAATACATATAGTTTCAGTAGAATTAGTTTGTATATTTTAAACAAAAGTACATACATGTCATCAGTCTAACCCGTCCTTGATCATTTTTTGCAAAACCAATTTCAAATATTTGTAAAATCATTTTTGTATATTTTTGGTAAAATCAGTGTGTATAGTTTCAATATAATTAGTTAGTATATTTAAACAAAACTACATACATGCCATTAGTCTCACTCGTCCTTAATCATTTTTGAAGAGTCAATTTCCAAATATATGCAGAATCTGTTTTGCATACTTTTTAGTAAAATCTGTCTATATAGTTTTAGTAGAATCAGTTTATATATTTTCAACAAAAAACATATATGCCATTAACCCAACCCGTTATTGACTATTTTCGCATAATTAGTTTCAAATATATGTAGAATCAGTTTAGTATAATTTTTAGTAAAATCGGTTGGTATAGTTTTAGTATAATTAGTTCGTATATTTAAACTGCTCTTCCTCACTTTTTTTTCTTCCCAACGAATGACAATGTTTACAAAATTTGACTAGTTCATCTATTGGTTTGTCAAATTGTGGGTATGCTCGACAAATTTTCATTTATAGAATTGAGATCTTGAATTATTTTTTCGTTTTAGAAATTCAAATTGTGGTTTTCCTTCAAATAAAATATCGATGGATTTTTTTCATTAACAGAGATTGAGATAAAAACAATAGGATTTTGGGGAGAGAAAAGCAAGCTAAAGGTGCAAACATACTACAACAATACCAACCACAAATGTTTAATAGCCCCAACCCCTTATAGAATCTAAACACTATAATTGGCTGAAGAACATTGATTTGTTCTGCTATTCAGCCTCGGTTGGATTCTGTCCCAAGGATCTCATCACAGTCCCCGAGGCAAAAGCTTCCTTGAACTCGGCGATCTGTCCTCTGTTAGCTGCTCTGCCATTTTTGGTCTCTGCTCTCAAGATTTTGGCCAAATGTGGGCTCTAAATTTTAAAATGGTTGAAAACGTTTTTAAAGAAAAAAATTTTGGATTCCAAAAACACTTTAAGTGATTTCTGCAAAAAGTATCAGTTATGTGCCTGCAAGAAGTATTAGTTATGTGCTTCTTTCAGGAAGCATTTTAAGTGCTTTTTCAGGATTTACTTGCATTTTTACTAAGGATTGGTTCCAAAAATATTTTCACCAAAATCACTTTTAGTTATTTTAAAAACACGTCCAAACGAGCTAGAAATGTGTGACCACAGTCCGTTCTAAACACAAAGGGCTTTTATGTAACTTACACTCTAGATAAAAAGTATATTCTATTGTGCCACTTAGTACTACAATTTAGTGATATTTCTCTTTAGTTGTAAGTAAGAGGTCTTAGGTTCGATTATCACCAAATGCAAAGTTGAACCACATTATTAGGTAAGCTCATTGTAAAACCTAGCTTACTCTTCCAACCTTTAATGTAGATACTATCATTTATTCAAAAAAAAGAAAAAAGTATATTGTAATTGGTTTATTCATTCATGAGTTTTGGTTTTATTTCATAGAAATAGTATACTATGAATGATCTAGAAACTATATTCCGAATTATTTTACCATAAGAACTATCTTCCGAATACCTATCATCACAGAAACCATTAATCCAATTTACTCTAATAACAATCTAGGTCATAGCCATAGGAAGGCCACTCAACATGATTATTATGATTAAGATGATAACCTTGATTGGGGCCATATAAAGGCGAATCATCATCATCATCCTTTGAATCGTAGTCATTGGAAAAGTACTGATGAGAATTTAGGAATTAGTTTCTACGAAGTCTCGGTGGACGTGTCAACATACGTTTGACCCCTGAAATGAAAATATGGGTGTAGATTAAGGGAAACAGGTATGCCACTATTAGAGGCTACTAGTAGACAGATTTTGGACATGAAAAATTGCACCTAATTGACTCCTAACCAAGGAATTGTGTAATTGAGTGGGGAGGCTCAACGTTGAGTCCTTTTCGCCTTGAATGCTATGGACCTCAAATTGTCGGAAACTAAATCTCAAGACTCAAGGAGAGAAATTGTACTGAAATACTTGGTAACGATTACAAGAGGAAATTGTAAATGCAAAGCTACAAAACAAGAGAAAGCAAATTAAAGCTTTGTCAAAGAGGGCTTGCTTGATTTTGAAGGAGAGCTTGGAGAAGGTATGGTACGTATTCACCGCAACTACTGGATTGGAAGACATTTGGAGAAGGAATGATACTTCTCTTTGAAATGCTTTGAGTAAAGCTTGCTTTCTTTGTAGAGATTTGCTCTTTGAGAGACTTTGAGAATATTGCTCGTAGGAGGATTTTGAGAGACATTGAATAATCTTGGTTTTTTTTTTAATTTAAGTTGTTTGGCTTCTCCTTTGCCCATACTCTTCGTTATATAGTGCTCCATGATCTCTAGGTCTTCACGCATCCTCATCAAAAATATCTTTAATTTTTGTGGCTATCTCATAATAATAACATGACATAGTGGATCTTTCAGAATCCATGCGGATTGTCAAATTACGGTCCAAACAAGTAAACAGATCTCAACTAAAATTCACCATATTTTAAGAAAATAAAGTAAAAGTAAATAAAAAGAACCAAGTACCTAAGGCAGCAAGCTCAATAGAGCTTCCCTGTCCTAAAGCAGCAAGCGCTATACAGCAAACCCAACATCAATACAAACAGGTCAGTTTTCAACTATCTTTGCTTCGAAAGATCGGCATGATCGGCTTATCAGAAGAACATGAGAAAAATCGTCACTCAAGATAAATCGAGGAACATGAAGTAACAGCTGCTCACAATCTCATTTAACCTCAGCATTTGAAATCCCCTGCCAAGATAACTTTCTCTAGGGCAACAACTAAGTATGAATGCTGGCTTTATTTAAAATCCCTTGGGTTCAAAAACATGTTGGGAGTTTACAAAGTCCATGGCAGTGTAGTTACCAATGACTTTGATCACAGCGGAATGCTATGGGAAGAGTGGAAGAGATATGTAACCTTGCACCCCGAGTAACCCAACGGACAAGAACTGCAGGCCATGCCAAACCTCTTGTCTACCGAGAGAAGTTGTCGTGTTCAGTTACAAAGTCAATCAAAACAAATCAAGTGCAGGAGTATGTCATAGCAATTCTTTTTACTGGTAGTAGGAGAGCTAATAGAAGGACATGATGTCAACGAAGATAAGACATGCAAGTGGAGGACATCATAACAACCCATTAGAGGAGTAACTAACACTGTTTATCTCAGAGAAAAGAGCATATGAATGGTTTGAAAGGTGGGAAGAAACCTGAACCTATGTATTTTGCTGCAGGAATAACGAAAACTGCATCAGAAAGTTTATATCATCAAGTTGTGTATACAAAATATGAATCATAAATACTTACAAATTCCTTGCAAATTGCACCAAGTTGCTGCAGAAAATTCAAATTCTGAATCAATGTGACAAAAAAGTACCCAACAAGCATACAAATTTATTCACCGCACCACCACAGAGGCACTAGGGTTAAGAGAGGAGGAGACACTAACCCCTCTTACAAGCGCAGTAGTTACCATATTTGAAGTTGCAATGGGAAGGAGTCACAGGACCATGACACATAATTCAGACCATCACGCCTCACAGTTCCAGGACCTACACAAACAAACTAAACAATGGTAAACAGAGCTCAGCCTTCTCACCTAGACAAATCTTGGTTAAATCCAACACCAGCATCCCTCCACTTGTGCACCTTGTCCACACCATCCTTAAAACGTTCTTCAAGTTGAGAAAACCCATCTGTATATGCCCCCTGATGTTGTCGTACATGTGACGGATTAATGCTGTAAAAAATGGGAATAACAAATTGTCTATCTCTTTCCTTGCATTGCAGTATATGCGCAAGTTCATCCAAACACCATGTAGAAGAAGCATAGTTTGCTGAGAAATGATCGCTGAAAGATATGAATTCTTGATTGCTTTCATAAGTGCAGGTGCAATTTCATCTACTCCTTTAAGACTATGATCCATGCATGTTTTGGTTTTCTTCGCATGTATAGCAGCATGAACATGGCTGCTAAAGGCACTGCGGGTGTCCTCACCTCTGAAACTGTGAAACACCTCATACTTTTGTTGAGGGGAGTTAGCAGCAGTCATACTCCTAGCCTGCATACCCACAAGTCAAAACATACAAATGAACCTGGTTGGCAAGCGTTTCCTTGCCACACAGTTTGGAAACTTGATACCGGATAAGAACAAAGCACATTGTGCATAAACAGCAGTAAGGCCGGTCCCAGCAGTTGAATGGCTTCTGCTTTGATTAAAACAATTGCTCTACTTAATACGTTAAGCATATAAAAAGGACCAGGAGGAAGATGCTATTATAGTATTTTTCGTGTATATGCCCAAGAACCTAAAACCCATAATCACCCAAAAGAATTTTTTTTCCGTATGGGGTTTAGGTTCTTTTCTTGGTCACCAAGCAACATACTTTGAGGGATGGTGAAAAAGTCAAACAACAGATTTTGAATGAAGCAAAGTGATACAGAACCATGAATCATTTATTCATAAGGATACAATTATAATTACAATCAGATTAACTCCAGATTTGGTTTTCAAAATGAATGGCAGTTCATCATGTGTCTGCATAAAAATCATCAAGGACAATTCGAACTATAAGTGGTATCCTAACTACATGCAAACCATCTTCCCAAAACAGATTTCCAAAGGAGAATCTTCCTTGAATTCTTAATAGGGAACGAAAAGTAACCTTAAACTCCAGCTTCTTTACAGTAGAGTTGAATGACAAAATTGATGGCTTAACTCTCACAGACACACCTGCAGGCGTTATAACACGAGCATTGTAGGTAGAATTAACTGGACCTACATTTGTGACCGTTCTTGATACTGTCGTGCTCTGCTTAAGCTCATGAATGGTGATAGAAGGAAGATTAAGGTTATTAATGAAGTTGGTTGATTTACGGCATGTGATCTTAGCCCCAGCCACTAAACTGATGGCTGTGTTGTTATAACCCATGGAGCACAGGAAACGGATATAATCTGATGATTCTATGTCATATATGAGACCAGGAGCTATGGCTTTGTTAGGATCAACATGACCACCACCATAGTCAAATGGATTGGCCTGCTTGTGAGGAGCTCCCTCGGCCACAATACTTTGACCATATTCATCTTCTAGAGAAGCTGTAAAGAGGAAGAACAATCAGTTCTCCAAAAAGTTCCTTGAAAGCACTAGATGCCATGAAATTTTAATTTCTCACCTGTGGTAACCAGGGAAGACTTTATCGCAGCAGGACTCCACGTTGGATGGATAGATTTAAGAAGAGCAACAATACCGGATATATGGGGACAAGCCATGGAAGTTCCTGATTCAATTTTGAAAATATCTGGATTTGCTTGATTTTGGGACTGAGCAGGAGACCAGGAGGCTAATATATTAACACCAGGAGCAGCAATGTCTGGCTGCATAACACATTCGAATCGTTAATAATATAGTTCTTAAGAACAGAAAAATTAATGAAACAATATAACACTGTTTATATACCTTAAGTATGGAAGGAGAGAGAGAATTGGGTCCTCGGGAAGAGAAAAATGCCACTTCTGGGGATATCTGTTGTCCCACTAGTGTTTTTGAAGGATTGAACTTGACTACGGGATTTCTGTGGCACGTCATTCGATTAGGGCACTGTTATTAGCCTCCTCAAGATAAAGAAGGGAAATGTAATTGTGTCTTCTATGAGGAGCGATATTGATGAGTGACAAGAACTAAAGCATGAAAAGGCTCTTTCTTTTTATTTCCATATGGTACACATTCTGCATAAAGACAAGTTACACATACTAGAGAATACCTGGTTGTTCCAATGTATGTTAGCAGATTTGTGCCAATTGCAAAGTCAACTTGAACACAAGGTGGACTACCCGAAGACAAAGAAACATCCTTGCTAGGAAACTGAGCAAAAATGAGACCAGCGCCCCTAGCACTCGTCACAGTTGTCGTTGCAGGAATAGATGACCTCTGTGATCGAGATTGGAAGCAAAGAATGACCTTTCCACTTGCCAAAGTTTCATTTAGAGTTCCCGGATCACAGCTCCTGTTAAAAATGGGCACCATTATAATGTGTATTTCTCTACGGTGAGGTACGAGGCTCATGTAGAATTCAAGCTCAAAAATAGAGGAAAAGGTTTAATACCCGGCAGTGTCTTTATCCGAATCAATAGATGCAATGTCTCCTCCATAAACAAGAGGGTAATACTTGTTTCTATCCATCCCTGTATACAAAGCCTGACCCTACATGAGAAAATAAATTTCATATCTAGGTTTTTGTAGTTTTGCATTTACCAGTACCAACTTAGACGTTTAAATGGAAACTCAGAATCAAGTTGAAGCATTAAGGATATAGTATATACGGTTTAATTTTCAACTTCGAACACAGTGCATTATTCATTTAAATCGCATCGCTGATCCACAATGATGAAAATTCTTAAAACTGATTAAAACAACAAAACACCTCTATCGGTAGAACATACCCAAATGATTTTGAGAACACTACCAGGATGATTTGCTTTGATTGGTATTTCAGAACAAACTTTCTCTTACACAATTAACGACATACCATTTTCAAATTGATAAATATGCAACATTTCCAAACAACTCCAAGGGTCTCAGATTCTGAAACTAAATCAAATAGAGTAACGTATTGCTCTTCTAGATCATGGAAACAACATGAATAGTAACAAATTAACGGATCATAAATTTCAAATCAACGATTTCCATTATTGTGCAAGTTTGCTTTAACAATGCTAAGAGCGATGCATTAGTAAATATACATGCTATGCATAGAGTAGCATAAGAATGTTCTCTTGTGAGACAACATGATATGCTTATTTAAAGACTGCTACTCAGAACCACGCGTTTAGAACCAAGGGCTTGACTGATAACTGGCAACATATCACAGCAGACTTTCTATCAAGTGAATAACATAACTCGTTGTATACCATAGCCCTAACCATGTCAATAAGAAGCAAACAAAAATTTCGTGGCTAAAAGAAGGAAGTGATGATATACCACAACAGTTTGATTGTTTCCCAGGGTAATCACGGTAGGGAAAGCCCTATCAATAGTGCTGGCTGCAACAGTAAAAATCCAGGGAGCGGAATTTATGACAGTTTGAGGGTATGGACCAGAATTTCCAGCAGAGCATACAACAGAGATTCCTTTGGCAACAGCATGGAAAGAGCCAATGGCCATAGCATCCTCAACATAAGAAGAAAGTGGAGGTGGAGAACCAAGAGATACCGACAACACATCTACACCATCATAGATTGCATCATCAAATGCGGCAAGCAGGTCTGCTGAGCTGCAGCCAACAGCCCAACAAACCTTATAGACAGCTAACCGAGCTAATGGAGCACCCCCTCTTGCCAATCCTGCAGCTAATCCCTTATAGCTTGCATTTTGTATTGAATCACCAGCTGCGGTGGATGATGTATGAGTACCATGTCCTCCAGCATCTCGGGGAGATAGATATTCAAACTCATCACTTGTACTTAGATTTCCGAATTCAGCTTCATATCCTTTACTATACCACCGTGCACCAATTATTTTCCTGCTTATCATAGCAAATAGAATAAATAAACCATGTCGTTCTCTGGCTGTAGTTCAGCAAAGAATACCAATAAATGGTTTCCCTTAAGGGACTTGATGAAGTTAGTCAAACTCATCTGTTGTTCAGATATGGTTCGCAAGTAAACACCATAAATGTGGATTGAAAAAGGACTACTAAGAGAAAAATTTGGTAATTGTTGAAAATTAAGCACTAAAAAATATTTGGTTGGAAGCAGCCCACACTTGATACTTATAGGTATAGATTCTGGGATCTTGATAACTGAAGAACTCTTTACACTAATGTGAAACTGACATGCAACATTTTTCATAGTTTTTTTTGCAATTTATTATGATGACATGATTTGTCCCTAACAGAAAAACCTAGTGATAATTTTGCAGTTAGCACAGGGCAGATCCAAAGTAAACTGATACAAAAGTCATAGCTGATGTTGAGTCCGAAAATTAGAAGAATGGGACAATGGGAAGCTTGTGACCATTTCCACCACATGATATATTTAAACTGATCGCTTCAACTCTTATTAGGTTAGTGGTTCAATATAACTACTAATCCAGTTTACCGAAACAACTCCTTTCTAAAACAAGTGAAGGAACAATAAATCACCAGGTACACAACAATTGACTACGTCGTCATATGAGGAAATGATGAAAAATATAACACTACACGTGCAAATGAAATAAACTAACCGGTTACAATGGGAGCGATTGAACTTTTCTCCTTCTTGACATATCCCTCTGAATCGGGATGGGGCATCTCCCATACCCTCATCTCTGAAGCTTTCGGACTCAGGCCAAATTCCTGAGAATCAAAATACAATATAAGTAAAATGTAATCTGATCTAATATACTTTGCAAGATGTAGAGAATTTTGAAATCCTGACCACTGTCCATGATTCCAATAATAGACCCAATGCCCGATTGACTCTTTGAAAGAATTCCATTTCTAATATGAGAGTTTACTTCCAGAAAATTCCAACTTCTAGTCGTATGCAAATTAAGAATTCTGTTTGGATTGACATGAACAACGCCAGGGGAATCTGCATTAAGTAAGGAAAATATAAATTAAGTAACTTATTAGAAAAGAAAATTCTGACTCAAAAGAAAGAAGACATAGTTTACAGTTCACCAAAATTGTAACACCTGCAATAAGCTTTGCTTGACATGGAGTTAGGACAGCAGCGAACCCTGAAAATCCATGCTTGTAGTTGTACAGAATTGATTCCTTTGCGGCTTCTTTGCTGAAAATTTTACTCACAACCTGTTACTTTTATATTATGCTGTAATCCTGTCCAGTTAAAATATGCTTTTTCGGATGATTTTTCATGTCCATGCCTATGAGATGCACCCTGTGCTTGTGATATTGCAGAGAAAGAGGTACAATCGGCCAAACAAGCAAAACTAGCATGCCACAAAACAGCAGACATTCACACACAAATATGCATGTTTACTGAAGGGAGTTTTCGGTCTATGCTATTGAAGTTGTCATCATATATCAGTCACAGCTATGAAAACTCCATCCCACTGTGTCATTTCTCAAACCAATCAGCATGTCGTTTTATTATGAAGTAAAACAGCAGCAGCATGTTTAACTTTTTCTTCTCGAAAAATGTTGAGGAATTTTCAGTACAAAATGCATTGAAACACGTAAGGCCTTACGAATTTTTTTTCTTGCAAAATGATACGAAATATTTTAGCACAAAATGCATTGAAACATGTCAAGGCCGTAGGAAGGTAGTTACAAACAATTATATAGCAATATAGTCCCTTCCCTCAGTTATGAACATAGAGAACAACCATTTCATTGGGGAAAAAAACATACAGAAAACCTAGCAATTTGAACAAATTTGTGTTCCTAAATTAGAAATAGAAATCAGTTCATCTTCTTTTGTTGGTTAAGTTTAAATTTAACTTAAATTGAACCGCACATTGTCAAAGATAAAAGTTTGGATAAGTATCAATGACCTTCCAAATACAGATGACAGAGTCTGATGGTGAGACTCAGAAACCAGCTCAGGCTCTCCATGCTGTCTTTCTCCCATATACACAATGTAAACCTGCCAAAACCAAAAACCCACAAAAACAAAGTGATCATATTGTAACATTCAATAACAAAGCACACAGCATATGCCGGTTTGGCCAGTTGTCCAGGGCAGCGTGCCTGCCGTATTGCACCCAAGTTTGAAACATAGTTCGCGTAAGTTAGAGTAGTTTATAATAGAATAACGCCTTTGTCAAAAATAAAGAACAAAACTATAAAGCGCACAAAGAATAGGTTAAGACTCACATTTTTGGAAGCCAAAGAGAGAAGAAACCCAGAATTCTGTAGAGCAAGAAGAAGAAAAAGGGTGCCGATAACCCCACAAGGAGAAGCCATGCGATGTGAACGAGTGACCTGAAAAATGGCAATTCGAAACACACAGAAAGCTCAGAGTGTTTGAGTAATAAACTTGGAGGTTGTGGAAGGAAGGAGCAAGAGTATGCCGTGTTGTAATTGTTGCTGGTGGGACAATAAGCAAAGCATTGACAACAGTTGGCATTCAGCTCCGGAGGAGACGATTGATGAGAATAATGTGATGTGGAAAAAGCATAATCCAAAAACCAAAGACTCAAGAGGGTTGACTGAAATTTTCCACATTTGGTGTGGAGGTGCGTGGTCACTTCCTTAACTACCCTACATTCTACTGTTTAATGTGGGAATGGAATTCATGGTCAAATCACTCTAGATGGAGGCGCTATAACCTCGGGACTCTATATGAGCTTTTATGTAAAGTTGACTTGGGGGTAATTTATTTTTGGCTTATTTTTTGTTACGTTATTTGGAATTCTATATGAAACATTATTTTGTAATTTAAAAGTCACCATTTTATTTTTTAAAACTTAAAATTCGTTTCATCTTGACTTGTAGAGTCTCCGTTCTTCCTGAAACTTATAGGTCGCTTTCTGAAATATATGTGGATCCAACATTCAATAAGACTATGCGATGTATGCAATAAATTTGATTATAAATCTCTATTATGGATTAACATTCAACAATCAAAAAATAATAGATTTAAGGGAAATTGAAGAGATGAAAAAATAAAAAAGAATTGATTAGCTTGGGGCACTCAAACCAAATCCACATTAGAAATTAACAGATCTAAGGTAATGTAGAACGAATTTTGAGTTTTATAGAGATGACTTTCAAGTTTTAGGGGACAAAATGAGATCAAAATCGAGTTTCAGAGAGCAAAGTGGAGTGAACTACGAGTTTCAGGGAGTAAAGTGACAACTTTTAAGTTACAAAGAGCAAAGTGAGACTAAAATTGAATTACAGAGAGCGTAGCTAAAAATAAACCATTATTTTTCTATTTGTGTTAACTATTTTTTTTTACCAATTTTTGAAAATGTCAATCTTGGTTGAAGAGTTTATATAACCTCGCATAGGTTGAAGAGTGATGAAAGCAAAAAGAGAGAAATCAATGTTGTAACACGTTTGAGTAGATAATTTGTACGTGGTTTTTAGTAGATAGGATGTTGAGTTTCTATCAATGCATCATGGTTCAAAATTGATTGGCAAATTAAAGTAATAGTTTGGAACTCTGCTCCCTTTCCTAATAATAATAAATTTTTTTTTTGAAAAAAAAAAAAAGTTAAAGCAAATAATAGTTGAATTGAGAAAATATATATATAGGTTGGGTAGCTCTATGCACGATTCAGCTCGGCACAGTATGGGAGGCGAACAAAAATCAAATTCAAAAACAAAAATTAGTACGATTTGGTTCGCAATCATGGGGTGTGCCGAACTTATACCCAACCTTATAGGTTTAGTATGAAACTATTCTGTTTCTATTTTGGGCTTTAGCTAAAAGCCCACTCTTTAATTTTGTTTTGTGAAAAAAATAGCCCCAATTTTTATTTTTTGGGCCAAGGAATATTGATGCTCCAAGACCTCGGCGGTAAAACACTACGCGTTGTCCACCTTGTAATCGTCTTTACCACAAGTGGTGCGAGCGGGACCCCTCTTCCTCGCACTCAATCGCAATCCGTGATTGGCACTAGGAGAACTAACAGCGAGAGGCTACTATACACCTGTAGGATCCCAGCTTGATGTTACTCCTGTTGATTTGCCTACTCAAGCACCTACTAGAAAGAGAATGCTGTTGGCCGCACCTGGCGTAAGAAATAAAATAAATAAATACTAGACACCATGATCAGCATAGTTATTATCACATAACGTTACACCAATCATCACTGCATATTAATACCATTTTTGCTTTTGCATTGTAGGTGTTGGTGGTTTTATCCCAAACTCGATGAAACACCAGTACGCGGGGCATGTTGGTTGGTTAAGTAGACCAATCGTACTGTTTGTATTGTGCAAGTACAGATCAAGATCGTTATAGGCTTGTACATAGGTGAGCGATATATAAGGTCGTTCATAGATTGTTGACACATGATGTAAGGGCTATTGTTCACCAACATTGCCCAATAAACAAGGCATATTGGCAAAAAAAATGTCTGACGAGTCAAAGTCAGACCTCATCTCAGAGATTACTGTAAGTAGAATTAATTAATAATCTTTGATTGAGACATATACATTGTAGTAATCTCTATAGCAACCTGAATTTTACTTTACAAACAGCATGTATTCTTTTTTAACTTTCTTTTAAGTTTTGGTCTGCATTTTGTTGAAATAAAAATCACAACCTTTGTTTTTGTGAATTTTAACTTGGACACCAAAATTGGACAACATTATGATTATGTTGACTGACTTATGTCTAGACGGTACATTGAGTTTAAATATGAGTTACATGCATACTTTTAAGAGTGGGCATCACCTGATGAGGCATGGCCAATAGATGAACTCAAGACTTGGGGAACTTGGAGTGGGAGTTTTTATATGAACATTTTCAGTCAGAGAAGTTTATGGTATTCTTTTAGTTGGTTCATACCTGCAAAGCATTTGGTCTTCATTTTTTGTCAAGTATATGTGCACTAGCTAAGAAACTGTTATTTTGTTGCGAAATGTAGAAGCAATCTGATGCTAACAGGAAAAATCGAGCCCAAAATAAGTATGAGTGTCACGCTGGTTCGTGCCCACTTGCCTACATAATGGAGGAGTAGGAGTATACACAGGTTAAGTAATGAATGTTTTGGTGCTATGTTGTTTGTAGCAAATTAAAATTTCGCATATTTGCTTTTGGTTTGTTGGATAATGATTTTGACTCAATATAAGGGTTGTGGTATTTAAGAATCTGGTTGCTAGCATGATCCATTTCTATGTATGTACAATTTTTCTCATTTGTATTTGATTTTATAGACTGATCATTACTATATTTGAAGCTAACAGGCAGGTTCGCATTCCCTAAGATTGATACTTTTAACGTTGCTTATGCTGAGAAGAGCAAAAACTGGACCAATAAGACTGCCAAGTCCAAATTTATAAGTCTGAAGTTGATTCTGTTTTAGTGTTGTATAATAAATAAAGCTGTAAATTTCGGACGAAGTTCTAATCTATGCCCTTTGTTTTAAGGATGATATGGTTGCTAGGAAATAGGATTATCTTAATGAATTGGCTAAGGATTATCCAGAGGATACTCCATTAGATGACATAGCAGTAACTGATACAGATGTTGGTCTTCATATACTTAATGATGTACTGGTGTTAAGCCCAGTAGGCAGATATGTGGTTTAGGTGATGACCGAGTTCGTGAGCTTGGTGGATTGACTTCTCGATCGTCAATTAGAGCGCGTTAGTTGGAGGAGGAGTTGGTAGAGGAAAGAGTTGCTTGACAGGTAGCTGATGCACCAAGCTCCACGGTGCATCAAAATCCTCCTCCAACGGTTGAGCAGCTCTTTCCTCTGCAAGCTCCTCCTCCAACTCACAGGCTCTAAGTGACGTCCGAGAAGTCGATCCACCAAACCCATGAACTCGGCCATCACCCAAACCGCGTATCTACCTACTGGGTTTAACACCCAGTACACAGTTAAGGATATGAAGACAAAATCTTTATCAAGTACTGCTATGTCATCTAATGGAGTATTCTCAGGATAATCCTTTGTAAATTCATTAAGACAATCCTCTTTCCTAACAAGCGTCTCATCCTTTAAAAGAAGGGAGTTTTAAAGAAAAGTCCACGGTATTGTTCACTTTAACGAAAAACCACATTTTTACATTAAAAAGTCAAACTTGATACTATTCATTTTACCTTTTATTTTGTCTTTATCGTTAAAACTCAAAATTTTCACTCTTTTCATTAGTTTTCATTTAAAAGAAAACAAGAAAGGCATAGAGTAGAACTTTGTCCGAAATTTACAGCTTAATTATTAAACAACACTAAAGCATTAATTCCATTTTAGACTTACAAATTTGGACTTGGCTGTCTCATTGGTCCAGTTTTTGTTCTTCAAGGCATGAGTATTCTCAAAAGTATAATCTCATGAAACTAGGAACCTTCTGCCATTTATTAATTTATCTTCAAAAATAGTAAAATATACATAATAAGATCAAATACAATGCCAGAATTAGATAGCCATAGAAATAGATCATGCTAGCAACCAGATTCTTAAATACCACAACCCTTATATTGAGTCAAAATCATTATCCCACAAACCAAAAACAGATATGCCAAATTTTAATTTGCTACAAACAACATAGCACTAAAACATTCATTGCTTAACATGTGCATACTCCTGACTATGTAGGCAAGTCGGTGGAACCTGCGTGATACTCATAGTTTTTTTGGGCTCGATTTATCTTGGTGGCTCAGCTCCAGCGGTTTAGGCAGAAATTAAAACCGGGAACCTTCTACCATTTATTAATTTATCTTCAAAAATAGTAATGATATACATAATAAGATCAAATACAATGCTAGAAATTAGATAGCCATAGAAATGGATCATGCTAGCGACCAAATTCTTAAATACCACAACCCTTATATTGAGTCAAAATCATTATCCCACAAACCAAAAACAGATATGCCAAATTTTAATTTGCTACAAACAACATAGCACTAAAACATTCATTACTTAACATGTGTATACTCCTCACTATGTAGGCAAGTGGGCGGAACCTGCATGACACTCATAGTTTTTTTGGGCTTGATTTACCTTGGTGGCTCGGTTCCAGCGGTTTAGGCAGTTGGCCTAATTTTTTGTGCTTTCAAATTCCTAATATCAATTCCTATAATCTGGCAACATTTTGAGTATAATGTACGCACAATCTATGTAGAATTTAAAATTCGTAAAACATAAAGTTGGTTCATGCATTATGGTGAAGGTTCACGCAGTGAAGGCTGAAAAAATATTAAGATAAATATCGTTATTTTGGAAGAAGTTGGATTATGTGATGGTATTGATGAACTGGTTTGTAGGAGTTCCTCCTCCGGATTTCGAATGTCCATCTTCAAAGCTTGTATGTTATAATTAAAGAGCTTGCTGATAATGTGTTGTGGCCTATAATTAACTGAGGCAAAAAGAGGGTGCGGCATAGAGAGAAAGAGAGATGGAGAATTGGATTGAGGAATTCTGTGTGTTATTTCTCATTCCTTGTGCCTTTATTTATAGTAAACCAAGGAGGATTCCTTGCCTTACAATTAATACAATCCTAAAGGAAAAAGTTCTTCTAGTATTCTAAATATAATCTACTAATGATTTGCACAATACGCAGGCAGTGGCGGATCCATG